ATTTAACAAATCAAAATAGGAGGTTTAGTTAACTTATTTTAAAAATCAGATTTATGAAAAGAAAAATCCTATCAGTTTATCATCTTAGATGGTGTTAACCAAGTTTTTGTTTTTATTATAAGGCTTTAATAACAAAACCGCTATTTCTAAAAATTTTTTGATTTTGAAGAGTTATTAAATGAACTACCTGGAAAATATTTTATAAATTAAGAAAATAAAAAGTTTTATACTGTATAACAGTTGAACAAAGTGAACTTTAAACAGACAGCTGCTTAAAAATAAAATGTGACATCTACTTAGGGTTAAGTTTCCCCAGAAAGATGTTCTAACTAATGTACATTGATGGCCACACTTCTACACAAATAAAGTGTTAACTGTTTTAAAACTTAGACTAGAGAGTAACCCTGACAAGAAATTGTATTGTATATTAATGACAGATGAAATGAAAATAAAACAATTGACGGAGTACTATGCCAGTTCTAAAAGACATTTTGGTTATATACATAACGCCTTTGGCTGCTAGCATGGTATTCCGTCAATTGCCTAATTTTCATTTCATCCATGACCAAGGTACAATAATTTTTTTATCAGGGTTACTCTCCGCTCTCAATTTTAAAGCCGTCAGCGCTTCTTGAGTAAACTCTGGTCGGCAATCGATGGTAGCGTATCACTTAGTCAATGTCCGTGGTGCAGGCAAACATGTTCCAAAAGTTTTACGTACATAGCGATAGGCGTTTGGTGAGTAATAGTTAAGTGTTAGGGCAAAGTATTTCTTGCAAACTTGTGAAGCCTGTTTATGCTATTATTTTTTAAGTCGAGGCATTTTTTCAGTTTATTTTCTTTGGCCTAAGTGTTGGCTCGTACTCGCAGTGAGAGTAGGACTAGTTTGGGCTTTATAAAGATTTTTTTTCGAATTGTGACTTTCGAGACAACTAATGGAATTTTGCGGAACATCCAGCTTTCTTCTTTCGATGTTGCTGATGTTGTGCAATCACAACGATCACCCTAAAATAAATAATTTACTAATTTAATTACGTAAGTCAGAAGATTCAATATATATAAAATATATATATAAATAAAAAAAAAAAAAAATATATATATATATTTACTGTAAAACCTAAATAAAAACTACAAACCGTTTCGGCAGACAAACCCGAATGGTTAACTAACTTAACGATAGCTAAAGTTGTGGAGTCCATCACTATAGTGCAATACTTTCGGTTGCAGTGATACCAGTTTATTTTTATAAAAATTGCACACGTTTGCTGCGAAGTAGCAAGTTTCGATTTGACTTATTTGGCCTTTATTTTGTATAATATTTTGATAAATAGTAGTTATTGATTATGTTAAATTATATAATATTCAGTATTGTGTTGAAATTGTGCTGAATATATAAATCATTTAACAAAATCCACTACACATCTATATGTAGTGATTATTATTAATCACAAACTGATTTAGTTCTTAGGAAATATATTTTATTTAATATATTTAACTTGTGTAGTAAATTATATTTATTTTTCACTTTATGAACTATGATGGCCACACTTGGTATTGGAAGAAAATATTCACAAAGTACAAGTTTTAATGATAAAATTTCTTTAATATTATGTTAAAAATACTCACAGATGAAAAGTCACATTGTCCTTTTGTATACTGGACGTTTTTGATTGTTTTTTTTTTTATGTAAATACACTGCAATTCGGCATTTTGTCGGAGCTCGATCTGGCACGATCACTTCGGAATGACGCACGACGCGGAGCAACTAGTTTTATATAACGAGTATGAATCGGACTCTCGTACCCTTTACAGAGGGGTATGAGAGTATGAGTCGGACTCTCGTACCCTTTACAGAGGGGTATGCCTTGCGATGCCGTCTCCTTTGGTTTAATACTCAAAGCTTTACAGTCACTCCTCACTGACGTCAGCGCCGCTATGTATTTTACAATTTTCAAGAACTGGCGGGCTATGCTTTAGTACGTAGTGATCGTTCTCCTGTTCTCTAACCTTCATGATGGACACCATCAGTGAGGCGCTGCGATCACTAAGTGTGGTCAATAAAAGTCATTTTCAGTCTATTTTTCCGATCAGATGCTCAACCACTTGCATATCCACGCACAATAAAATATTTCTCCATTTTTTAATGTTTCTTTTTGTCAAAAATTACAAAATTACGGAGCATGAAAATTTTCTACGAAAAAATGAAATGAAAATTTGTACATTATTCAACTAACTTCACCTACTTGTACTCTAAACAGCTAACTTCGCATTCACTGCTCACCGACGTCAGCGCTGCTATGTATTCTACAATTTTCAAGGACAGGTGAGCTATGCTTTAGTACGTAGTGATCGTTCTCCTGTTCTCTAACCTTCATGGTAATACAATTCAGGGACTGGCGGGCTATGCTTTGGTATGTAGCGATCGTTCTCCTTCTATCTAGCCTCCATGGGTACTAAAGCTAGCAGTATAGCAAGCTTAAGCTAGTTTCCCGTAATTTCAGGAATAAAATAACAGCACCAGAAAGAAAAAATTTTAATATTGGGTCCTTACATATGAAATTAGCGTTTTGTCGTACTGACCACTTTTATCTCAAATATCTCTTTTTTGGTTAAGAATTCCAAATTAAAATTTATAAATTCATTTATCTGGTACATTTTTTTGGTAGTTTTGAAAACAGTCATTCATTTGTTTTTCCTCATTATTGTTTTCTTTGGCGTCACGTATTACCGCACATTGGAAAACATGAAATATCGGTATATTTACGAGTACGAGTTCTACCGTGGCAGCAATGCTGCAGAAACAGCTCGAAGGATTATTGATGTATACTGCGCTGGTGTCGCAAAAGAAAGCATGGTACGTTTTTGGTTTCAACGTTTTCGTTCTGGATATTTCGACCTTCAGAGCCAACGCCGTGGACGGCCGGAGACCAAAGTGGAAAATGAAGAATTAAAGGCTATTGTGGATGCGGATCCATCACAAAGCACTTCAGAGATAGCTGCAGGCTTCGGGGTAAGTGATAAAACTGTATTAATCCACTTGAAGTAAATCGGGAAAGTAAAACAACTTGAACGATGGGTAACTCATGAATTGAGTGAATCGAGCTTGCAAACACGCATCGACTGCTGTGTTACTTTGCTCAAACGACACAAAAATGAAGGGATTTTAAATCGAATCATTACTTGTGATGAAAAGTGGATACTATACGATAATCGGAAGCGCTCGTCGCAATGGCTGAACCCTGGAGACCCAGCCAAATCCTGCCCTAAACTAAAATTGACTCAGAAAAAGTTCCTTGTGAGTGTTTGGTGGACTAGCACCGGTGTCGTTCACTACAGCTTTCTAAAATCTGGCCAAACGAAAATTATCAGCAACTGCAAACCATGAAGGAAGAACTAGCTGCTAAACAACCGACATTGGTCAATCGCTCTAGGCCACTGCTGCTTCACGACAACGCAAGACCACACACTGCACAACAAACAACCACTAAGTTAGATGAGCTACAATTGGAATGTCTGCGGCATCTATTGTACTCCCTGGACCTTGCTCCAACAGATTACCAGTTTTTTTCGGAATTCGGACAACTTCTTACAAGGAAAAAAATTCAACTCGTATGCGGCAGTCCAAACCGCCTTTAAAGAGTTTATTGGTTCTCGCCCCCATGGCTTTTTTAGTAAAGGGATCAATGAATTACCTATGAGATGGCAAAAGTGCATTGATAACAATGGAGCATACTGTGATTAATTAAATATATTTTACAAAAGAAAAATTGACTTAGTATTCCTCCCGTACAAAACGCCAATTTTATATGTAAGGACCCATTATAATAGCATTTTTATTGGTTTAAAATATTTTATTTAGAAGCATGAAAATGTTTTCGTTCAGAATTTTCCATAACAATAAATGAAATTATTTTGTTTTTTATAATTTTTGGTGGAAATTATTTCGAGATTGTTTTTAATTATTTTTAACATGCTTGGTTGGAGTGTTCTTTTGTTCTTATTTCATTAGGTTTATCATATTTATGCCTGTTTCTTAACGCCAACCCAGTCGTTTCTTATTTTTATCACGGTTATTTCCCATTTTAATTTTACGTCGTCCTGTTGCGTAATGTGTATTCTGATCGTAAGCGACACAACTTCTCCCTTCAAAAGCCTAAGCGATGCTAACGCGGCGACAGGAATCCAGCTTCAAGACAACATAAGAACTTCTTTATAGTTAGTTCAGTTAGTATGCAAAGTATCATGATCCTATTTAAAGTATTTTATGAATAACAGCGGTTTATTGTTCAGTTTGGAGGTAATTTTGGATTTTTTTCCTATCGAGAAAATTTTACGGAATCGTGTTTTCGTCTAACATAGTCCTTAACATTAATCCTCAACTTTACGATATATTTATTTCAAGATTAATGCTGCAATATTTTCGGCATAACAGAGGACCTTGCTAAGCCATTTGAGGTTATATTTCCCCTTAAGTAGTCATTAAAATATCTCAAAAATTTATAATAAATATTTTGAAATTTTTTGGACTTATACTGAATACAATATTAATACTTTAAAACCTTGTTGTGCAGTTAACGATGTATGATATCTAATGGGCTTTTATGCAGTGTTAAGGGAAAAAGAATTTTAGTTATGGCGACATTTAAAGCTATGTCAATTTATTTCACAGAGTATATAAATAAATTTATAATTTATCTACTGTCTAAAGAAGGTGGTGGTGGGTGTGTAGTTTTGTGTTTTAGTTAGAACAATATTTTGGTTAAATGAAACTTAGTGTTAGTACAGTGATAGTTGATAAGAATAACATTGTAAAATATTATATTTTTCTTTGAATCTAATCAATTATTTACATAGGGCTTTGTTTTCGAAGTGATTTGTAAATCCTAAGCTATTGACAAATAGTGATTAGTACATTATTAGTGATTAGTGATGATGTTTGTTTCGAATTTAAAACGACATGGATGTAATTTATGATCATAATTTTATTTTCGAATTGCATTATGTCGACGACGCCATGCTCAAAAGGCGGGATGCGCCTCAGCGAAGCCCTGGACAACATCCAACTCGCATACAACCCTATAACTAAACAGTTGCATTTTGTGAGTCCTAAGGTTGAGAAACCAGTTGAATCTAGTGATGATGTTGATAAATTGTCAAAAAAGAGTAGTTTCAGTGATGAAGGAAACTTTTCAATTTCAACATGTGAAAAGAGTGATACAAGTGACTCCCCAAAAAGTACATTACAATGGGGTGGTAGTGTGAATGGCCATCAGAGAGGGAAGGATGGTGGTTCATTCTCTAGCACAGTTTCGAGCTTATCTGAATGTTCCCTAGGTTCCAGTGCTTCTAAAGAAGATGAAGTTGGTGATGTCAACAATGAACAGGAGAGCAGCAAGTTAAAGAAGAAAGGGCTGTCTGGGTTTTTTAGCAGGTGAGGTTTTTTCTTCCAATGTTAAATATAATTTCTAACATGATATTTAATAAAATATTTTTTTAACTTTTTCAATATACAGTCTTGTTTGTTACCTATATATGAGCATTCTACTATCAACAATCAGTCTACTATGAACTGATTTTGATTAGGTATCCACGCCTAGAGTTATTTAAGCATTATAAAATATGAATTTAAGTATAATCACCTAACCTTTAACAATGGAATGCGTAATTTGAATTCATACACAAATTATTCTTCATCCTTTTGCTTACTAGCTGTGGTTGGTTCATAGAACAATCATGATGATTTTTTAAACTATATTATTATTTGTATTATTATAAATAATATACTTACTATATTATCTATAGATGTAAATAAAATGAAGTGTCTGTATGTAGTAATATTGATATAACTTGCTTATATTAAAGTTTATTTACTATACTAAATATATATTCACAATACCATCCTCATAATCTGGATGCTTGGTGGTCCACCACTGTGCATTTTACTAAGAGTTTTCTTCCTCGTACAACTCTGTGTAATTGTTTACCACGGGTGATTTTTCTGGACCGATATGACTTAAGGACTTTCAAGAAAAGAGCTACTCCTTTCTAAAAAGCCGGCAACACACCTGCAATTCCCCTGGTGTTGCAGTTGTTCAAGGTTGGCGGTAGTCATTTACCATCAGGTGATCCGCATACTGTTTGTCCCCTCTTCTTTAAAAAAATATCTATTCTATGACAAATAGAGCATAATATATAATATTGTAATACTTTAGGTATTTATACAACATAAGGGTTCACATTTTCTAACTTTTATATGTAATGGAGATCAAGTGGTCCTGGGTTTGAATTCTGGGTAGGGCCAAAACTAGTGGCTGGACATGGAATTAGATCTTTCTGTCAAGAACTTGTTAGTAGTCGAACGGCAGCTCAGAGTTCGGTAGTATTAATTATTTCACCACCATGCTATAAATGCATTGTTGCTGCACTTATCTCTCTCGTTTCACTATAGCATGCCCTCCTATTGGATTGTGAGTGTGAGAATATTTTAGGGAGAGCACCTGTGCTTGCACTCTGGTATTATAATTCTGTCCTGCACCAGATGGCTAGTTTAAATTAACACTGGCGTACATAACTAATATTTTTCTTTTATTGCTGTTTTGTGTATTATACTCATTTAAAACTTGGTTTGGTTGTTGAAAGTTTCTTTCTTTTTTATGTTTATAGATTTTAAGTAACAAACAGTTCTTTTATTGCTGTTTTGTGTAATATGTTAATACAATATGTCTGTTAAGGTGTATAAAATAATGCCTAATGAACTTTGGTCTCAGGTTTCCTCAATACAGGTTTGCCTAATGAGGAAACCAACAGATTTTACCTGTTGTATAATTTAATTATTAAAAAAAAAAGAGAGCTGCAGTAGTCACTTACCATCAGGTGGACTGCAAATTCGTTTGTCACTTCAGTGTTGTAATTTTTTTTAAATAATGGATATCTAATATCCAGCCAGCTGGCATGTATTTCTTTAAAGAGTTATCTTTACTCACTGTTGGGAGCGTGGACTGTCGGGTGATGATGACGTATGGCAGCAAATTAAATGTGGAGTTTTTTTCAATTACTTTTATTAAGCACAAGCACTCAATCATAGCGCACTGCTAGTTATTGATAGACAATAAGGCTGCTTGCTTGACAGTTGACAATTAATGTATTAAATTGTCAATACAACTAAATCATATTGTTTTGTAGGTTTGCTACACCCACAATTCTAAACAGGTAGATTCGTAATAGTCAATTTCCTTGTACAGCCCTAGTATAGCCCTCAATTACCCACCATTTAAATTTAGGTTTAGAATTTTGCCAGGCGTATTTTCCTGCCAATGCTTTAATATTTTAAGATTTTTTTAAGAACATTTCACTATTATCTCAAAAAAAAAATGGAAACAATTCTAAAAGAAAATCAAACCACTTTGTTTATAAATGGCATATGTTTTATTAAATAAAAATTTATTTAATAAAAAGGTATACAACAGTACTAAAATAATTACTTAAATATTTTAATATTTTCCACAACATAAAAGTTCTTTAGAACTTTTATGTTGTGGAATAGACATTAGTATTGATTAGTTTAAAATAATAAATATTACATATTATCAAGTTTGCCAAACATTTCGGTTTCAATACCAGTTAGCTCACAGGAAAGATCAAACAGTTTTTTCTGTTGGTTCACATCTTTAGAAAACCTATTACTGATGCCTTCTCTACAATTGCTGATGTAAAGACCTCCCTTTTCTTCAATTTCTTTGTTGAAACAAGCATATAGTATGGGCGTGGCACCTTTTTCCGGAGTTTTAAAGAAAATTTTCTTCAACCAGGGGAGGTGGTGGAAGTTTGTGTGCTCAAATAAATCTGTGTCAACGATTCCCGGATGAACCGAATAGAATTTCACATTTACATCTTTAGTTTCCAGCAACTTGTTAAGGTACCTTGCTATCATGATCTGTAAATAAATAAATTTAAGGCATTATGTTACAGAAGTAAAAAAAAATGTATGAAGGTAAAATAAAAAATTTCGCTTTACAATAATGGTCCTAGCATTTACCTGCGCTAGTTTAGACTGGGCGTAGGCAGCTATTGTGTCATAATGTTCTTTCATATTAATGTCATCAAAGTAAATCTTTCCAGGAAAATGACCACAAGACGTAACATTTACTACTCTCGAAGGCTCTTCTAATTTGCCTCCTTCTTTCAAAGCTGGCAACAATAAATGTGTCAAAAAGAAATGGCTTAAATAATTCACAGCAAATTGTGATTCAATTCCATCTTCAGTCAACTTGTAATCTACATACATTATGCCAGCATTGTTTATTAAGATGTTAATCTTGGGAAATTCCTTTATGACACACTTTGCAAACTCTTTGACAGACTTCAGTGACTGCAAATCAAGTGGGAACGCGCGCAAATTGCTTCCATTCTCCATACTCTCAATCATACTCTTGGCAGCTTCAGGTCTTCGAATTCCTATAATAACGGTGGCATTCGCTTTTAGCAGCGCCTTAACAACTTCCAATCCTATTCCGCGCGCCCCGCCGGTTATAACGGCAATTTTCCCGCTTGCGTCTGGTAACACAATTTTGTTTCCTCTAATATTCACCCAGTCGTCGATGAGGCCTCCAGCGCCGGCTCCCTGCATGTCCAACATATATCGAAATTCGCTCAGCAAGTGCTTAATGGGTTTGTGCCGGTTCATGAACCAATAAACCGCGGCCGCAGCCGATGCTATTGTTAAAGTTGTTATCGCGAACATGTTTGAGGTTATGTCGACCGTTCGGCGCGACGCGGCGTCTGTACTGGTTGCTTTCACTCCCGCGATCCTATACGCTTTCTCTTGCTTCGTTGATTGTATTCCTAACTACCGTTAGACGTAAGTCCTGCGTGAACGTCGCCGATGTGGTGCTAGTCGCATGTATTTTATGGCTAACTTCAAAGATTGTTTGTATTCGATGTTATTGTGAATAACGCATTTTTATACTACGACATTTCTGAACTTACAGTTCTTCAGCATTAAAAATAGCGCTCATTGTTTTTACACACAAAATATATAGAAAATCGTTTCACAATTACTTTACATCCATGTTAGATTTATTGAGCTCCACCAAAATAATGCTATTTATTGCGTATTAAACCGCGCATGCGTATTACCTCACTATTTCAAACGCAAATATTATAGGTATGTGACTGTGGAATTGTTTAGGTATGTAGATCCTGTTTCGCGAAGCCTCTGATTTGAATAATTCTTTACTCTGAGGGCGAAGCGATTAGTGACATCATTTTTTTATCTCTGCGTCTGGAATGTAGTTTATAAATAAATTCCGAACTATAGATACAAACAAGTAACTTGGTGGAATGTTTGATAAGAGAACTATTATCTGTTGACAAGGAGTAGTGGTACCTACGTTTAAATGACATAATGAGTTGAGTGAGACAACATTGAAGGAATGTGTACTTAATTGTAAATTTGTAAACAAAACATTTGGGTGATTATTGTATTTTAGGAAAAGCATGCCAGTTTTCTTAAAAATCCATGCATCCTTAAAAAGGTCAACTAGTTGTGGTCTTTAAAAGGCTGATATAGTGATGATGTAGGCTGTGCTGTTTTGGGTAGTAACAGTAGAGATCAATAAAGTTACTGGATAGGGCAATTTCGCCACGTTAATTTTAACGAGGATATTATTTGATACGGTAGATAGTTGCGACAACATCATAACATCAGTGGAGCGTGACGGCGACCGAATACCGATGACGTCATTTGTCTCAAGCGATGTGCATTGGGTCTTGAATTGGCGTCAGTATGTAGTTTATATGGGAACGAATGTGGGTTGGTCATTTATGAATATATGGTAGAGCTGTTGACATTTGCACTGTAATAGCAGCTCAATGCTGCTATGCTGTGTGTAGAGAATCGGAGACCCTTTTTGCTGGAAATGAAGCATTCCATCTTAGTCCTCAGGGGTGACAACGCATCTGCATTTTGATACTTAATCGATGATAGATGTAAATGTCTATGTGCCACAGCATCCGCTTACCATCAGTTGGACTGTGTACGCGTTTGTCACCCTTGTTCTTTAAAAAAAAGCGTGCACGAGTAGATCAAATTGACGAGGAAGGGACTCTCTCTCTGTGGACTATGTGCTCGTTTGTCACCCTTTCTATAAAAATTGATAGTCACCGATTTGAAGAAGAGTCTTTCTCACGAAAGAAGTCACTTAGTCTTAGCGCTACAGTCTTCGCAAAATTTGATGTTTGCTATAAAACTTCGTATATTTTAGTTCGCAAATCTTCCGCGGGACTTCTGTATCTATACAAACTAGTTTAAAAGTTGTAGTTAAATGTTGCAGCCTATATACATCCCACTGCTGGGCACGTAGTCAGGCCTCTTATTTTTTTTGATCCGCCGCGCTGCCCCATTGGGTGTTGGCGAAATTTCACATGTCTTCGAAAT